GAAGAAACAGAAGTTACAGTCTACAGAGAAGATAGGCCAGGTGGATCAGCCCTCAACATTAAGAGTGTACTCCAAGCAATTCTGTAACATAAAGGGTGGATGATAGCGGAGAATGTATACATACTTAATACTCAAGGAACTACACTTGTGAGCTAGAATACACATTTTGCCCTCAATCTTCTTTGAGAGGTCAAAGAATTGGAACTACTCAGCACTAACAACTTCTTTGAGAAGACATAACCTGAATTATTCACATGACTTGGGTGGGTAACAGGGAGGTGGGTCTGGGTGGGAAGCTCTCAGGGTCGGTGTGGACTTGTTGGGCCGAAGGGCCTGTTTCCACACTGTAGGGATTCTATGATGATGATGATGAAATACAACATCACGTCAAAGAAGGATGCTAAACTGTTATGTCTCTACCTACAAGCATAGCATCCAAATAGCTAGGTCCCATTTGAAGAAAAATGCTGACCTTTATAAAGCATTGTTAAATAACCAATTCACCCCCATTCCAGTATGGCTTTTGCCAACATACTTGCTGATGGCTGAAAATTGTAAATTCAACTCCCCGACCTATCAAAGAGGTTGACTCTATATCTGTGTCCTCTGGACTATGGTTATGTATATAAAAATGAGCATTCTCACTGAGAGCAACAAGCTTGCCTCTATTGTAAAATCAGAAAGTGCTGGAGAGACTTCAGCAGATCTGGCAGCATCTGTGGAGGGAGAAACAAGAGTTAATGTTTTAAGTCCTGTATGACTCTTCTGCTGGGTCTTATATCTCTTGCATGTCTTCTCTTCTGAAGACGTATTAATATTGATATTGGGCCACCATAATGGATCTTCAGAAGAAGGATCACTGGACTTGAAACATTAACTTCATTTCACAGATGCTGCCAGACCTCCTAACTTTTTCCATAAATTTCTGTTTCTATAATTCTGTCATGCCTCGTTTAGATTGGTCCTTATTTCCTTAGCAATAACTGTGATGTTTCTTCTAAAGGAGGTATATCATGATCTAAAGATCCATGTTCTAATAGAAGTTTATTTGGGGAGTCAGAATTGTTTTCTAATTGTGCTTGATAGAAAGTATTGACTTGTTTGTGGTGTAACTAGTATACTTTTGTTATTTACAAGTTGTTTTGATTTCTGCACGGTTTTCTAAATTGTTGTGATGGAGCTAGCCATTGCTTCTGTTTGGGTGGTTTCTTTTCTCTATGATTTGGGGACAGTGACTCCTAATATCAAAAGATTTGGACACTTTTTGCATTGGTTTGCCTTGTGATTATTTGGAGTGTCACTGATGTATGAAGTCGCTAGGTTCTGATTGTCTTCTGGAGTGAATTCCTCTGATTTTTTTCATGGTCTTTCCAAATCTCACCTTGTAACACATGCTGGATAGACTTTTTATTCAGTCTGAGATCTTCCTTTTGCTGTAAAGACCCTGAAAAATGAACCAGAAATTCTGATGACAATTCTGCCTCTAATTAGTACTGGTTGTAGTGCTGCATTTTGCAAAATTCAAACAATGAACAATGATCACTTACTAAGTTGTTGACAGTTTCTCCTGAAAGCAATATTCTTTTGTTGAATCTTGCTCCTTCCATAACGCAATTAGTTCTCAACGTAAAGCAGTTGTCAAATGCTTTTGATGTCATCAAAGCTACCAATATCTTATTTAACTATTTTTCTGTGATTATGGTAGTCTGGTAATATTTCCACAGAATAAACCAGTGTACTAACTTGTTCTGCTTCTGAATTGGTGTCTAGACCTGAAGCAGTTCCATATCTCATTGTTTCTTCCATGCTGGCCAATTTAACTCACTGATGTTTAAAATATCTGTAATGTTGAAACTGCCTGGTGTGTAATAACTTTCTGCATTCCTTTGTTGAAATTAAATTACTCATTTAAATTCTGAAAGTTTTTTTTAATTTTTGGAATTCTATGTATTTTCAGCTTCTCTTTAAATTTCAGTTGTGATTTCAATCCAATTGCTACATAGCTTGTTGGATCTTTAAGCATTCTTTTGAAATTGCTGTTAAATGTTAATTACAGATCTTCTTTTAAGCTGTTTAACTACAATGAGTTATTGCATAAAGAGAGACTTAAATCTACTTTGATTCGTCTGTGATTTTTTTTCTGTATTTTAAGTTATTAAAGTTTCTTTTATCTTTTATATCTTTATGCGCCTTAACTTGTCATTCTTCACCAATTTGCGATTTTGATTGAAAGAACTATGTGGGAGTTTGGTGCCATTTTACCCTTCTTAATGGTGTCTCTCATCCTTTTCAACAACAGGGATGAATAACACCATTTCTGCTTCTTCAGACAATTTGCGTCCTTTTTAATCAGAACATTCTTTTGGGAGTTTCCATGTCTTTAAGAATTTTTGGTTGTAATAGTGAGTAATTATAGCAGTAAAACTCAGTAATTATAACAGTGTGGCAGTGGCTCAGTTAGTCAAGGGCAGCCTCTGATACCAGACCAGGGCTTGGACATGTTCAGTTAGTTGCATGGGGCAGTCAGAGACTTAGGAAGCTGAGGAGCCATATGTTGGGCAGTCCATCTTGAGTCTTTCTGCCCTATTGCAAGTTGTTTTCCTCCTGGAATGGCAGAAAAGCAGGTATTAAAGGAGATGAAGGTGTGTAGCACAGCTGTTAGGGCAGTGCATGCAGGGTAGGGAGGTGTCCTGAATGAGTGAGTAGGCAGCACAGAAAGCAAACAGGTTGAATGGTGTCGGGGGTTGGGATGGATGACAGCGAGTGTGGAAGATGTTGCAGGCAACAGTGAGAGCGCTAGAAAGTGAGCCTTGGTGAGAGGTGGGTACATTAACAGGGATAGAGTGAGCGTGAGGCATCAGAGACAAGACATACACCACTGGTGTGGAAAAGGACATTGACCTTCTTCCTACAGTGCTGGGCATTCCTCCAGAGAATTGTGGCTACACTGACCGTGGTGGTGTCATGCCCTCCATTATTCATCTGGGGGGAAGAGTCTATGTTGCATCTGCATCACTAGGATCTCCAGCTGGCTGCCTGCACTGCAGAGCAGGGAGCAAATTTTTCCTCCTCTGCCATGTGTGGGGCAAATGTCAGAAACCATGCAGGACAGCACTGGACTAGCAGTGACTGTCTGTGGGCACAATGGCTTTTAAAGATGGTGTCATTACCAGGGATGCCAGTCAATTCTGGGATATCCTAGCAGTGGCTGGTTGTTCCAGGTACAGCGAGTGGTAGGATGGTGCTGGAATTCAGTTATAGTTCAATAGTGGGTAATTTTAGCAGTGTCACAGTGAACAATAAATCTGTATGAAAGTGGGTTCTTATAGTAGTGTAACAGTGAGCAATTATAGCCATGTGAAAGTGGGTTCTTATAGTAGTGTAACAGTGAGCAATTATAGCTGTCTAACAGTCCGTAGAATAGTGACGAACTATTCCAGAGTAACAATGCATAATTATAACAGTGCTCGTAAAAGTTGATACTTTTGTAGGTCAAAAGTTGGTAAGTGGAGTATCTGTGAGTAATTATAGCCGTGTGAAAGCGGGTTAGTGTAGCAGTGCAACAGTGGGTAATTGTACCAATATAATAATGGATTATTTTAAGTGTGTTGGTGAGTAATTACAGAAGTGTAACTGTGAGAACTTACAGCAGCGTAACAGTAACAGTGTAGCAGTGAGTAAATTCTACTCGTATAACATTGCATAATTATAGCAATGTTCCATTGATTAGCTATACCAGTGTATTTGTGGGTAATAATGACAGTGAACAATTATAGCAGTGTAACAATAAGTAATTATACCACTGTAGTAGTATAGAACTATAATCATGTGACAGTGTAATTAAAATAGTGTAATAATGAATAATGATACTAATATAACATTATTAATTACAGCAGTGTAACTATAATTATAGAAGAGTGATGTTGAGTAATTATTGCAGTGTAACAGCATAAAATTATATCACTGTAATAGTAATTATATCAGTGTAGCAATGTGTAATTATACCAGTGTCAATAGCGAGTAATTATACCACGGTAGCAGTAATTATGTCAGGTGCAGCAGAGTAATTATAACATTGTAACAATTAGTGATTGTAGTAGTGTAAGAGTATAGAATTGGAGCAGATGAACAATGAGTAACTACAGTAGTGGACAGTGGATAATGCAAGCAGTGTAACAGTTTTTGTAGCAGTGTAACAGTGAGTAATTATAGCTGTGTAACACAGACTGGTTGATTATATCAGTGTAACGGAGAGTGATTGATTATAGCAGTGTTACAATGGGTAGTGTGAGCAGTGTAACAATGATAATTTATAACCATATGACAATGTGTAATTGTAGCAGCGTAACAATGAGTAATGATACCTGTCTAACAGTGGATAATTATAGCAGCGTCACTGCGAGAAATAATGGCACTGTGATATTGAGTAATTATTGCAGTGCAGCAGTGTGTAATTAGAACAATACAACAATGCATAGTTACAGCAGTGTCAACAGTGAGTAATTATAGAAGTGAAATGTGTAATTATAGCACTGTAACAGTGTGTAATTGTAGCCCTTTAACAGTAAATAATTATACCAGTGTTACAGAGAATAATTATACCAATCTGCCAGTGAGTAATTCTACCAGTGTAACAGTCTGTAATTAAGAATCCTGTGTAAATTGGAAATATAATAGTGGAAATTATAGATTTATAACTGCTAAAAAATGGCAAATTACAGTGGCTAATTATAACATTATGTTGATGAGAATTTAGCATAATTGAAGTCAATAGTTATAGAATTATAGCATTGGACAATTAAGATGCAATTAAATGGCTATAAAATTGTGGACAATCATAAACACTAGGAGTTGGCACAATCACAAGTTGAATTGGACCTTGAATTCTATTGCAAGCCTGATAAAAGTCTCCTCTAAGATTTACAGCTGCAATTTTTATTCTGTTCAGGTTTATGTCACAGCAATATTGATTGGCAATTAGCTGCATTGCCTTTTTACAGGAACATATGCAAAAGCGACAGGCTTTACAGCTGTTGCTATGCAGGAAGGTGACTCTGATGTGATTGAAGTCCGTGTTACAGCCCATTCTAGTGATGATGGTTTGGAGGTGCTGGTCAATCATGAGATTGTAACTTTCAATGAGCAAAACTGGATGGATCTTAAAGGTGAGTTTTCTTTTGAATTTGTGAATGCTCACTTAACCTGGATGCACCCAGCTATTTCATGTACTGCCCAGACTGATAACTATTATCCTTCATTGCATCAGGGACCCAGGTTCGATTCCATCCTCGGCTGACTGACTGTGTGCATTTTGCACATTCTTCCTGTGTCTGCGTGGGTTTCCTGTGGGTGCTCTGGTTTCCTCCCATAGTCCAAAGATATGCAGGTTAGGGTGGATTGGCCGTGCTAAATTGTTCATAGTGTCCAGGCTAGGTGGGTTAGTCATGAAAGATGCAGGGTTACAGGGATAGGATAGAAGATGGGTCTGGGTGGGAAGCTCTTTGGATGGTCTCTGTGGACTCAATGGGCTAAATGGCCTGCTTCCACACTGTAGGGAATCTATGATTCTATACCTCTCATCAGGTTGCAGTCTCAATCCAAGCATTTTAGCACCAAGATACCAACAGTGCAATGTAGTACTAAAGGAATGCTATACTGTCTGAGCTGCCACCTTTTGGATGAGATGTATATGGAGGTCCCTTCAGCCTTCTCTGGTAGATGGAAATGGTCCCATGGAAGTATTATGAAAAAAATCATCATTCTTGCCAGCCTCCAAGGACATATTTATCACTCAAACAACATCACAAAATAGATCCCAATTCTAAAAAAGACTCAAAATGTTAACTGTTTCTCCCTCCACAGATGCTACTGGACCTGATGAGTTTCTCTAGCACTTTGTGTTTGTATTTCATTGAATGGATTATCTGGTCATTTATGAATTGCTGTTTGTGAAACAATGTTGTGCCCAAATTGGCCACCAAGTTACAGCACAGCCGACATTTCAAGTAGTCCTCGATTGGCTGTAAAATCCTGAGCATGTGCTATAAGAATGCAAGTTTTTCTTTGTCTCTCTCTAAATGAGCCATATTTTTGGGTAAAGACACCATCAGACCACAGGCTGATGTACTATGGGGATATTTATCTGGCTTCTTGTACTCCTGCAGGTGTTTTTGTATTTTCGGATAATACGCAGAACGTTACTGTCATGTTTCCTTCTGGAGCTGGTGTGGAAACACGAGCTAGGGGCACACTCTTGAGTATCACAGTTCTTTTACCGGACACATTTGTGAACTGGACGGAAGGTCTGTTTGGAGTAATGAATAACAACACAGATGATGACTTCACCTTCAGAAATGGCTCAATTCTGTCGGCTGATGCCGGTCTGGAAATGTTCTACGAACTGGGTGCCAGCTGTGAGTAGACGTCTCTAGTTGCTAATTCTTTCTTTTGACCCATATCTAGACATACATTTTACTGCACAGCCTTTTAAATCAATCCAAGTCCTAATTTTGTGATGCCTTTTACTAAATAAATCCAAAATAACAAATGACATAAATTTGCAAACAATCATTTCGCTTTGTATTTGGTGCAGTGTTCAATGGTTTGATTCATCTGTTTCTGATTGTTAGACTGGTAACAGATTAGTGCTCATCGTGTTTGATTGGTTTAGCGTGGGAGTTAGAGTAAACAGAAAGACCTACCAGCTTGAGGCGGAAATAAGCATGGGTGAAGGCATTTTGTAATTGAAATGATGTTTTAAAGTCCTATAAAATAAATCACTTGAGGACAAACCAGCAAATCAACCACTGTCAAAACGACACACTATTCCAGGGTCATCCTGATAACTCCCACTTTTTCTTCTGCACTACTAGTGGACTTCCAAAACTTTCCCCTTCTGTTCCCTCCATCTTTTAGTTTGAACAATAGCTCAAGGATTTTTTTGGCATTAAGATTGCAATCTCCGATTTAGACTTCCTTGCTTCCCTCTCTTCTTCGTGACCAAGTCAGATGTCCTGTAGGATTTCTCTCTGCCATAGCCTGGGACTTGCATCTTTCCTTCATTTCTCTCCCATCTCCCCTCATATCGGCTCCGAGCCTATCCTGTCTGGAAAATGTACCTCCTTGTTCCCTTCGCACTATTCTCCGTAATCTGGTGGCCACCCAACTTCAATTCCTCACTCTTATATTAATAAATATTGTCAATGATTCCCTCTCCTGCATTACTACTCCTGTGTTTGCCAATCTGCCATCAGGCTGAAAGCACAATGTTAGAAGCCTCATTTTGACACTTATGACTGTCTGCGGCCTGTCACCTCGCTTGTCTGACACCTGCCAAAATTTCTTCTCGTAACATATCAGGAAGATTGATGCCTTCTCTCTGGATTTAGTGGTCACCTGCAATGCAACAACACTCATCTCTGGTATTGAATCAAACTTCAGTTTCAGGAAGAATCTGAGTTTGAAAGAGGAACAGGGGGTTCACAGTCTACAGATATGGAGTAGGTCATTTAGGACTGAGATTGGGAGAAATTTCTGCACTCCGAGAGTGGTGAGCCTGTGGAATCCTCTGCCACAGAAAGGACGTGTTTCAACATTTTGAATGTTTTCAAAAAGGAGTTAGGTATCTTTCTTAGGGCTAACTGGATCAAAGAGTCTGGGGAGAAAGTAGGAACGGGGGACTGAGTTGGAAGATCAGCTATGATCACATTGAATGGTGTAGCAGGCTCAAGAACATCAGATAAATCATTTTAAAATGTGTTGCATATAAAAACATTTAAAATTCTGAAAAATCATGTTTAACAAAGTCATATATTTTACATTTTAGCCAGGTAAATCAAACTTTAATGTAAATGAGGAGCAAAAACAGAAGTAGCTGGAAAAGCTCAGCGCGTCTGGCAGCATCTGTGGAGAAAAATTCAGAGTTAATGTTTCAGGACCAGACCTGAAACATTAACTCTGATTTTTTCTTCACTGATGCTGCCAGACCTGCTGAGCTTTTCCAGCAACTTCTGTTCTTGTTCCTCATTTGCAGCATCCGCAGTTCTTTTAGTTTTTATTTAATGTAAATGACATTTAACAACATCTTTTAAGACCTTTCATGTTGATCTTTTAACAAGATTTACCGGAATTGCTTAAGAAGTAACTTGCATTAAAACAATTAAAATATCATCTGATGAATCATCTTTAAAATATCAGATGAATTATCTTCCATAATTATTTAATTGAATTTATTTTCATGTCAAAATATCCTTTCTGAGAATGCATCTTTTTGACATTTTTGCAAATTGAGGAGGCTACTTAGTTCCTATATGTTTTTTTTATAGAGTAGGTGCTTTTCGTTGTTAGTGAGAAAAAAACCAAAATTCAAGGGGGATTCTATTAAATATACAACTTAGTAACAGATGTTGCAAGGCCTTGGGAGCCTTGGCTTTGCCTGTTGCGACTTCTGAATTTAAGGGCTGTAGTCTGTATTCCAGAAATTACTGGATGGCTCCAGCACTCCAAATGCAAAATGCATTACTGGCACCACAAAATCCACTCTGATGTTTTTGGCCTTTGGTCCACATTCCGTTCTGTAGTCACTGACTCTACCACAGTTTATGTCCTATTCACCCCTGAGCTAAGCTAAGCTGAGCTCTCCTCCTCATCACCCTTCACCACCAACCCCCCAACTCGCCCCACCAGCACCCATTATTCCTTCCATAGTCTAAAACTACCTATTTCTATGCCTGGACTATTGCCCATCATTCTGCCTTATGCCATTTATCTTATCCATGTTCTTACAGCTTCTGGACTCAACTATTCCAAATCTCTTCTGGCTGATCTCCTGTCTTGCAATTTCCATGAACCTGTGTTCATTTAAAGCTCTCCATTGGTCAATATTACTTGTTATAATAGATCATAGAATCCCTGCACATTAATTGCAAGTCTTCAGTTGAAACTACCTATTGATGTACAACTCGACTGGTGGTACAGAGCTTGACAATTACTGAAAAAAAAAATACATTTTGTGCAAGATTTTCATCTTGCATTCATCAGGATGATTTGCAAGAACACCAGTGAAAAGGGAAACAGAATACTGTGTGTGATGGTTGTGCAGCGGACTCTTGGTAGAAGTGTTGTCATGGAGAATGTACCAGTTAAATGATCACTGACAGTTAATTGCCAAGCTTTGTTTAAACTTAAACCAGACAGATTGACTCTGCTTAGTCAAGGCGTTGCTCTGAAGCTGAAACAGAGGATGGCTGTCACACAATTTGTTCAATTGAAAGAGACGTATTGTGTGTATGTGAATCTTTGATCTGTAAAGATCAGAGCCTAAGTATTCATTTGTGTAGCTTCCAATTGATACAAATGTACCACACTGCAAGTCTGACTAGCAATCTCAAATTGGTTTTAGCACAGTTAGGATTATTTAGTAAATGTTATCCTATCATGCAATCACACCTAAAATTTTGGATGCTTAGAGTCATAGAGTCATAGAGATGTACAGCACGGAAACAGACCCTTCAGTGTAACTTTTCCATGTTGTCCAGATATCCTAAATTAATCTAAACCCATTTGCCAGCATTTGGCCCATATCTCTTCCTATTCTTTTACCCATCCGGATACCTTTTAAATGTTGTAATTGTATCAGCCTCCACCAATTCCTCTGGCAGCTCATTCTATACAAGTACCACCCTCTGTTTGGAAACGTTGCCCCTTTCGCACCCTTTTATATCTTTCCCCTCTCACCTTAAACCTATGCTGTCTAGTTTTGGACTCCATAACCTGGGGAAAAGACCTCGACTATTCACCCTATTCGTGGTTTGAGTTTTGCAAGTGTGGGCTGGTTAGGTACGATTGGTAACTTGCCTGGTGTAAATGGTCGAGGGGACATGCTATCCCTACGCTGTGTTTTTATAATTGTCCCAATGAGTGCAAGTCAAAAAGCTTTAACAAAATATTACTCAGATATTCCCAAGCCTACAGAAATGTGACACTCCTCCCGTTCCTGGCCCCATCACGTCTTCTTTACAACACACAGACTTTTCAGATCCAATTCCAGCTTTTCCGAGTCACTTCCTCGTGATTTACTTTAACTCTTCCAGTTCTGTGATCTCATTAGAAACCAGACTAGACGCCACACTAAGCTCTTCAGATAGAAACAGCCACTACTTTTGTTCCAAACCTTTGAATTGGCAGGTTTCGATTCTGTCTATGTGCCACTGCATGTTGGGAGATCTTCTTCAATGTATTTATGTTTCCTTTCTAGGGGCAATTGAAAACAAAAGTTCTCTCTTCACTTATGACAGCCAGTTCTTGCTGAAAAATTACCTGCATGCTCCAAAGCATGACCCGGATTTCACTCCCATTTTCTCAGTGACGGATGACCCTGCAGATCCATTCTATGCTGAAATGTCGGCCCTGTGTCAAGGGAACAGCTTTTGCCAATTTGATACTCTTGTAACCAAGAACCTTCGGATGGGAAACGCGACAATGGTCTCTTACGAGAGTTATGTTAAGTTGGTTGAAAGCCTTGAGCCAGGTGAGATATGTAGCTGCTGTTCGGCCCAATAAACTGTCTGTATAAAATTACTTAGAAATCACAGAAGTCTCTTATCCTACCCTGTCTAACCCTGTTACAGCTCTTTTTCTTCATTTCTCCCCTATGTACTTTGTTAGTTTCCCTTTAAATGCATGTACCCCAACATCTCCATGTTGCATTCTCACTAATCACTGGGTAAAGGCCTTTCTGCTAAAGTTCTTATTGGATATATGAGCCACCACCTTAAATTTTGATGCTCCCTGGAGTGGAACCATCTTTACCATGAGTGGCCTGACAAGTTGTTTCGTAATTTTATTCTTGTTTCCTATTCATCCTCCATTGTTGCTTTCTTAAAGCATTGGGATCTCAATGTATGATCCTGGAAGGGGAAGTTGTGCACTTGACTGAGCGCACTGTGATTAACTGTGGAAACAATATGATTTTCTAACCAAGGGCTGTGTTTTCCTTTGCTTTTTGCAGACCCAATAGCTATGTAGCTCTGATCTTGGGATTGGGGCATGAATCTTTATTTCCATTAATTTACATTTACCTCAATTGCTCACACTCTCTCAATTTTGGTTGCCTTGATTACGATTTAGCTGTCAAAGAGGAGATAATCCCAAATTTGTGTGTTCCCTGAACTTGCGGGCATATAAAACTCAAACTGGTCAAGTGATAAATGTAAATACAAATACACTTAAGTTGGCTTTGTATTAGGGCAGGCAAGATTTGAAAGATGCAGGTGGCCATGGATTTGGCATCCATTCCAAACGATTTGGTACTTTAGATGATTGTTAATGTAGTGATGCCTAAAATCCAACTTCACAAAAACAAATTGAGAACTGAAAGGACATTGTGTGTGTTACCCTTCATCAGTATGGCAATACTGGGCAATGTATAGATATGCTCAGGAGGAGGACTTTAGAGCAGGAGGTGGAAGATGGTCTGTGAGCAAGGTGCAAATGGTTTGATGAGGCAAGCATATGGAGAGTGTCTCAAATTATACCATGGATGAGGAGCCAATGGCAGATGCTAAAAATAGACCATCAGCACAAGGTGCGAATGGTGGTTAAAGTAGAGCTCGGGAACTGTCAGATTTGAAACTAACAGGAGCCTCAAGTCTTACAACTGAGGAAGCAGTGAGAGGGATCAGTGGGGGTGGGGGTTCGGGTGAGGGACCAGTGAGGGTAGAATTGAGGGAGGAGTGGGGGTTGGGGTGAGGGTGAGGGAGGGGTGGGGGTAGGAATGAGGGAGAGGTAGAAGTGAGAGAGGGGTGGGGGTGGCAGTCAGGGAAGAGTGGGAGTGGCAGTGATGGAGTGGCGGGGATGAGGGAGAAGTGGGGGTGAGAGTGAGGGAGCAATGAGGATGGTATCAGGAGTGAGGCTGTGGGTGCCGTTGGGAGTGAGGGAGCAATGAAGTTGAAGGAATCAGGGAAAGACCTTACTGTGATCTAAGTGAGTGATCATTGTTTTGGAGGACATTGCGGTTCAAAGGTTAGATAATAGGTTAGTTGAGTTGTGTTGTATTTGGTTCAGCGTGGGAGAGGAGCTGGGGAGCAGGATGGGTGCAGTATAGAAGGCTTTTGCACAATTGAAGATTGTTCTTCTGATCCACAACCTGGCAGCCAATGAGTGAAGAATTGGTGGAGGAGCGTGCAGTTCTGGGTTGTATTGAAGTTGGGAGGAAGGTTGTAGAGGACACCACATGTGAATATCATTGGTGGCTCTGAAGGTTTTAGTGAAAAATGAGTTGCTCCCCGAGCCCCCAACATTCTTAATCCTCCCTGAGCTGGTGCTTGTCACTATGTGATCCTATCGGAACTTATGATTTGTGTGTCATGAATCAGGGATTTAAAGGACCAGTTTGAAGTACAGCTTCCATTGGTTTTGGATGCATTTTTCAGATCCGTGCTGTTGACAAAGGACTCATAAATCTCGCTTTCTAAAGCTGCCGGTGTTTGATGAAACATTTGTTGCAGAGAGCATTATCCCATGAAGATTTTCACCACAGCGAAATAACACTCAGTGATAGACAGGATGTTATAATCTTCTGAAGCTGCTTTATGTTTCTGAGTATTGGATTTCACATCACTGACTCGCTGTTTTCATTCTGTTTTGATTCTTCAGTGATCTCCTGTGGGTTTCTGGACAAACCTAAGAATGGAGCAAAGAAAGGGGACCTCTACTTGATTGGAGCCTCCGTAAATTTTACTTGCAATCAGGGTCACATCCTCTCGGGATCAGCTAGCCGCACATGCCTGCCATCTGGGCAGTGGTCTGGAGAGCCAACCTTCTGTATATCCGGTAAGAAAGACACTTGTCTTATAAACATGCTATGCACACCATGAATCTATCGCTTCCTTCACAGGAAACAGAAACTCGTAGGATCTGACGGGATTTGTGGAGTGAAGCAAAGTTATTATTTCAGGTTCTGTTATCTTTCATTGGAAAAGAGCATTTTCTGTTTTTATTTCAGATTTCCAGCACTCTCAGTATTCACAATACACAGAATCATAGGAGGGAGTAAGAACTCCCCCACTTTACAGAGAAAGGGGAGGCAGGGAGGAGATTTGCTCTGAGCATATAATGTGACTTTGATTGTCATCGAACCACATCTGCTCAACCGTCATTGCTTCAGAATTCTTCATTTCTCAATCCGCCCACTACTCACCATCACAGTGCCTCTTTGATCAACAAATAATATTTCCATTACAATTTCATTGAATAACTCATGCATAAAACTGATTCAGAGATAGCAAGATCTGCCAATGCTGGAGTCAGAGATAACACAGTGTGGAGCTGGATGAACACAGCAGGCCAGGCAGCATCAGAGGAACAGGAAAGTTGACATTTTGGGTCAG